AGGGCACGTTGCGAGAGAGTTTGCTTAGTCGCCTGAGCTCATGTTTGCCTCTGAGAAAAATGCTTTCACCGTTTATGGCTAAATTTCTTGAAAGCTCCAAATACTTCCGGTAGATCTGCAAGTTATATAAAAGTTTGTATAATTCCAGGTTCATCGAGTATCTCATCGACGTTGCCAAAGAGTGTTGTGAAATTGGTAACTTCAACAGTCTAATGGCTATTGTGGCTGGACTTTCGCTGCCGGCTGTCACCAGACTAAAACGAACTGTGAGTTTCCAAAAACAGCTCCGGGACTGGAAAAGAGAGTAGTTGGGACTGGGCGTCGGATGTGTGGGCGTTTGATCCGGGTTATGGTAAGGCGACGGAGAATTCAAGCATTCACACCGAGACTCCTTTCTTCACCTACAGTTGCCGCGCGGGCGGAGGGGGGTGGAGCTGACTAGATAGTTAGGTGTGGCCGCAAGGTAGACATAACGACTCCCTCATGTTCCCAGGCCACTGTGAAGAGCGCAGCCCCCTAGAAGGACTCGGTTACATCTTGACTGGTGTCCTACCTTTAGCAAGATACCGGGAAAAGATAGTTAAAGGGGTCATACAGGGAAGCAGTAGAGGGAAAATAAGAATACTGATGAAATGCTCGGAGGGAAGAGAGATAAAGAAGTGATTAAACTTTTCCTTCCCCTTATTGTCATCATTCTCTGAAACGCTCTCTCTCCTCCTTCTCTAAAATTTTGCTTATTTCAGTGGTCTCGCGTGGAGAAGTCAAAGCTAGAAATTCTTCAACATCAGTTGGATCCTACTGGTAACTTCCTCTCGTATCGTGCTACTATGAAAGCAGCTCAATGGCGAGCCGAAACTGTTGGCAGCTCTCAAAAGGTAAGCCTCCAGAAAAAGAAGTTAAGGAGAAACGAGAAGGAATCTTCAATTTTAGATTGTAATACCGTTCTTTGTGCTGCTGTTGAAGGATTTGTTCCTCGTCTACCATGGCAGTGTGCGAACGCTTCCAAATGGCCATTTGAATTTTGTGGTCAGTTTCCAGTTTCCATTTTCAATGGAAAGTGAGAGGGTTAGGCTTTTTCATAGGATGATCCTTTTTCGGATGCGCCACGCATTCCACTTTCAATCTTGTGGCGATTAGAATACGATTTGGCCTATGCAGGGACTTTCGGGACCTGCTACTGTAATGTAAACATCTGTGCGCTCTGCAATAGTAAATGCTAAATTACAAAAACCACCAACTTTCTTGCACATGTGGACGAGCTTTACCCCTCTTATTGGGATACGTCAAGACAATCACAGTTTGCCGCTCCGTCGCGTGCGGCGATGTGCGCGACGGAGCGGCAATTTGCGGCTCTTGGCGTTTCATTCTTTAGCGCTTTGCATTAGCCTTGTCAGTTAGAACACTGAGAATTTCCACGTAGACTACGACATCGTGACAGTCATGGCCTATTTTATGCAATACAGTGTCTAATGACGCTACTCACAACCTGGAGCAGGCGCGACGTCGCACGGGACGCCCACTGGCGCTGCGAATTACGATTGTCTTGCCACCATACCCCTCCTTATTATTGGTCGGACAAGATTTTTTTCTCAGTGGCGGACATTCTAGTATGGTAGCTGAGTAATTACCAGCTGTGTTACCTTGACACCCACTTCAAAACGGAAACAAAATAGTGTAATACTCGAAAATATTTTGAAGAAATGACCTCTTCATGTCAGAAATTCATCGCGGAAGTGCACTTCCAGTGATGAATTACACTACCACTTCATATTTTCGCCACGATGAATGACCTTTTGTTGGGTAGGCTGTCACTAAAGCAGACTTTTTACAGCCACAACATGTGCCCTTTCTTTGAATGTGCCAGCCAAAAAAATTTAGAAGTCATTCTCGAGTCATGCAAGGGGTATAGTGGCTATCTAGCAAGTCTGTGACTTGTTAGTGAAAGAGGGGCACGAAAGCTGGATTTACCGCTATAGAATAATGGTAAGGGACCTAGTCATTGTGTCAATGAAAAGCACTTTGCGTTGTATAATTTGAAAAGGCAATTCCATTGTGGCGAGGTAAGGTTAAGAGGAGGGTACGTTATTGCCTCCTCCAAGGCCTTAGCTTTTACGGAATTTTAAAGTTCTTTTTATTGAGTTTCCCTCCTGACCTGACCTCTCGATCTCACACAGGTGGGTCGTTGTTGGGCTCAGGGTGAATGGGCCTTTCAGCTTAAAGAAAGAGTGCTCACTGACGCAGTACAAATGAGCTGAGTAGCTGGTTCCTCTGAGATTTCCACACTCCGTCACATGGCGGCGCTGATCTCTACTCTCAGCAAGGCTACTCCGGGCCACTCAAGAGTGCTACCTCCCACGTCGTGGTTTCGTCAGTAATGTCGTAGCCTGGATCACGGTTACCCACCCCTGCCCTCCCCAGGCAGAACTCTGCGAGAAGATTACTCAACCGTGTTTCGCCGCTTGCCAAAAGCGTCACAGCAGATAGGACCCAATGGCGCTATCATTAAGGAGATATTTTTCGCAAAATTACGACGCCTTCACACAAAGTTTCCTCCTGTTGACTTGCGACTCTTCTTCTATTTCATGCCAGGAGTCTTTTCTGAAATCTTCAGTGTCCCAAATGTCGTCGTCAAGCGCGGGATGGGGGAGCTCCTCAGTTGAAGCGAGGGGCAATTACATGACGAACTCCAACACCAGGAAAAACCATGTGTAGAAAAAAATTCAGCAACCGAAAAACAAATCATTTTGAAAAAACAAGTACGACCACTCCCATTCGGTGACTTCAAAGCAAAATGTATCAAAGAAAATTATTACAGGCCTAATTCTCCAAATTAGCGAAGCAAACTTCGCCTCGTGGAATACAAAAATTGGAAAGGAAGCCGCATTGCACGTTTCCCAAACATGCGTCAGTTCTTCAGTACCTGCTGGTTTCACTGCTATATGGCGAAAGAGGTACTCTTCCTTATAATTCTTTTCTCTTTCATTTTTTTAAGATTTGAACAAATCAAGATTTCGAGCGTTATACATAGAAGGGTCACCTACGAATTATGACGATTCGCGGTGCATGACTTGAAGGTAGTTCGTCTTGTGGTAGGAGGAGAGAGGAGGAGGGCAGAGAAGGTCTTCTTCATCATCGTGATCACCACTCATTTAGCCTTTTTCGCTGGTGCGTCTTTCTTTCAAAAAGTTGGGCGCTCAGGAAGGCATATTTATGGCCTGCTTCCGCCCACCAACTGGCGTGGAGTGTGCTTCCAGTAGAAGACTTTTATGAGGCTTACACTGGGAAAGAGGTGTGACGGGGTTACTGTGTGCCTGAAACTAACTACAGTAATCCCTAAGATGGGGTAGGCGCGGCTGCGTACTTCGACCGAAAGCAGCGCTGGCATGTGTATGTGGCTGAGACATTTCCGTTTGAGACAATTGAAGGTCGTGTCTCTGATCACAGCAGCAGAAACAAGATGACAGTTGTCTGAGCTTGACAAATGTCCTCACGAGTAATCTATTCCCATGCCCATGGGTCCAGAGCCATTGGGGCCCACTCCGTTCAGCGGATGAAGGGGTGATAACTGATGGCCCGAAGCGATTGCATTCAAAACGATTTCTGGTATGCGCCATCTTCATGATGCTTCTCTTTCCAAAACCGATCAGAGTAGGACACCTATGAAGGAGGGGGGGACACAATTACAGACCTGGCTCTGCCCATTCACTGTGGACTACAGGATGTGGAGGGTGGTGAGGATATGCATTCAGCAAGGGTTCAGAGCAGTTCGGCTTAATGGGGGCATTTTGGTGGCCCTACAAACATTGCCGCTGCCTTCTAAGGAAACCTGAATTCCTGTAAAACTACGCAAAAGGGGACCTTCGTTCGTACTTGACAATATACTACAGATCTTTCCACAATGGAGGACAGGTGCTTTTAGGGCCAACGTGTCCGCGATCAGGTATAGAAGTTGAAATTATGGCATTGGGAGGGTAATGTGGTCCACTACGAAGAACCTTGCGCCGGATTTGCCGCAAAAAATTGTACGAGGAGGGGCGCTATACGCAATTATAGTTTTCAGTGAACGGCTCCTTTTTTTTAGCTGACTCGGCCTCAAGATCTTGCTTTGAGCCCACCTTACAGTGAAAACGAAGCTGCAAGACGAAAAAGCATGAAAATTGTCTCCTGTTTGGCCGTAGAGTTCTTATCTGGGGAATTCAGCTGTGCGGATGAAGGCGTACTGTTGAAGGTGGAGTTAACTGGGCAGGTAAAACTAGGAAATGGTTGGGGTTCTATTTGGGGAATTTGCACGTTTTTTCTGCTTTTTTCTTCACTATCGAATTACTCAGCACCTTGTCGTCTATATGCAAACCCCTAATCCACTATCTGTGATGGCGAATGATCGCGGACTTTGCCTTTAAAAGGAACCGTCACTGAGCTGAAAGCGCCGGGGGTTCTTGTTGTTCATATGAAAGATCAGATCTTTGGAAAAGGAGTCTGAATAAGGTGCCTAAGTCTTATTTAGACCCCTTTTCCGTAAAAGGCTTATTGAATTTGAAGAAACCACCATTCTAAGGTGGCCATAGAATGTTGTTGATGGGGAGGAGGAAGTCTTCCCGGCTGAGGTCTTATGTTAGTATTCATTTATTCTTTTTGGGCTCTGTCTCCTTGAAGGAACGGTCCGCGATGACGTATGAAAATGCAAAAGGTTATGTGGGAAGGTAATGCGGTCCACAGTGGACAACCCTGTGCCAGTTTCGCGGCGGAAAGTTGTACGGTAAAGGATTAAGGCGCAAAGTTGCTTCAGTGGTACATCCCTTTTTCCAGTGACTCCGCCTCCAGACTCCGCCTCCAAAGTCCGCCTTCCAGCCAAAAGTAATGCTACCGGGCAAGTAGCATGAAGTGGATGCTTCATTGTCTCTTGTAGAGTCATACAGTTCATTACGGGGAATCAGCCAACAGAACTCGTCCCAGAGTGCGAACCTTCGGTCTTTTACCCGTACAGTTTTGAAGCTGGAGGAGTCCTAATAAATGTGTTTTAGACGTTCCCTATGGCATTTTTACTTCAAAGACGGGTCACTTGGTAATTTCGCCCGTATATCTAGACTGTCGCCCACACTGTTAATCGCGAACCGTGCCTTTGAAAGTCAATGATGAACTACGAACTCACTACTAACTCAACTTACGGCTAATATCTACTTACTAACTTTCAGAGTCGATGTTGGCGTCGTTCGAATGTGAACCAGCTGAGAGTAACTCTGAACGCGAACAACTGAAGAAGTTGAAAGTTCGCTGATACGTCCGTACTCAGAATGTATATATAGATTTATTGATATATTATATCATGACTAGCTGTTTCATACTATCATGTACAACATATGAATTAACAGAGCTCTGTAAACTTGATCATTGGTATGAAATAGAATTTGGATAGCTAGTTTACT